GACAGAATTCTGATGGTCAGAAAACAGCGTTTTAGTATGTCGAAATTGACAATTTGGTAGTACTAAGGGAGTGGTCATTATTTATGGGGAGGGGGGGGGGAATGGGAGGGGGGGGCAAACGAAGTTTTACCCTTATAAATAGGGGGGTCAAAAAAGTTTTAACACAGAGAAAGGGGGGGTCATAAAAGTTTTTGATTTCTATAATCACAAATAGCAAAAAAGAAGACTCTGAAAATGCTATTTCCAACGATCTAGAGACTCAAAATGTTCAAAATTTCCCTGCTCGGCACCAACCATGGTGGCGCCTCGCGACCGTTGAACCCACTAAGTTAAACAAGCTTTCTACCCCCTGAGTGACCCAGTTGTGGTATTTACATAAACATACCATGCAAGTACACTTAACTGATCAGATTCGGTCTATCAACACACAATGTAACGCTGTATATCCAAAAATCTGTTTCAGAAAATGCTCAGAGGAAAATGCTCACATTTCAATTCTAGGGGTGGAAAAATAAAAAACATTTTCTGGGGGAGAATCCCCCCAGACCCCCTACTAGTACATACGATACCACACCAAACTTTTTGTCACCAACAACTATCTGTCATCTTTCCACACTCAATATAGTATGGTCCCTTTTTGTAGATGCCCACCCCCCAGACAAGTTCTTAAAAAAAACCTGTGTTCAAATCATTTCGCTGTATGAAGACGGGTCATGGGTTAGGGTTATGGTAGGACAAATGTTGCATTGCAAAGTAGTAACACATAATATATATTTTTTAATCATATATGGTTGAATCATATTCACCAGGGTAAAACATCATGAGCTAGATTAAACAGATTGTCCTAATATCTAACTTTACCTGCAACGCACACCTGTTTCATTGCTGTTAATTTTTCAATCCACACTGGGGGGGGGTCAGAAAAGTTTCTACTTTTATGAGGGGGGAGGCACAAAAAGTTTGCCTTCAGTCTGGAGGGGGGGGTCAAAAAAGTTTTCAATCCTTATTTTCCCCATTTCCCAACCCCCCTCCCCATAAATAATGACCACTCCCTAACTGGGCGAACGCGTATTTAATTAACTATATATTGGATAACTAGGATAAGTTGCAGGAAACTGTGGGTACTATCTTCATTCTTTGCAGTTTGTCATGGATAATGTAGCCGCTTAAAATTAATAAAGCTTAAAATTGATAAAGGTCAACCATGCATGATTTTGAAATCATGCTACGGTCCTGCGTTTTCTTTCATTCATGTTTTCACACAAAAACGAATAAAAACGAGGTCAATTGACGAACGTCATGGAAATGTTTTCCTATGGACTGTGTGAACAGAGCGTCAAATGAATTTTGCTTCATTGTTATAGATGACGAGATAGTTGATAGTTTCTAGACCTTTTTACCATTCTTCATCATATCCAAGTTTTTCCAAATTCTATAAAATTATATTGGTGACTTTTTCACTGATTATTTTTATGACCCCCTCCATTTATACCAAAACTATAAAAAGACCCGCCCCTTTGAAGCATGTCAAAATTGGCTGACCCGCCCCCAAATTCCTCCGGCCCACCCCCAGCTAAAAAACGAATGCTCCCTAAGAGTTCATTAATTAAGTACCACATTTTCAACTAGCAGGATGAAGCTGTACTGATACGATACTCTCAGTCTGACAGTCTCTTATGTTTACAAAATTTCTAGATCATAAAAACTAGTGATGGGCGATTACCGATTACTTGGTATCGATACCACCCGATACCAGGTCCAAATCGGAAGTAGTCGATACTACACGGTATCGAAAAAGTGTTTTGATTACTTTTAAAATTAGACATTCATTATAATTCTGTAGTTGTGTCATCGTTTTCATGGCTATTTCTAATAAAATATATGTACTTTTTTGTATTTTGTTGCATTTATTAACTTAACCAAACTTCCTTTACTTTATTTGACATTCTATCCACTTCCCTGATTAATATTCCTAACCTCGTCGACAGAATAAATTATGAAAAAGGCGGGAAATAAATTAATTTTTGTTTTTTCATGGATTATAATGGTGGAAAATTCTGAAATACAATCGTCGTCGTAGTAATCGTTTGGGTAATCGATACCTCGATACTTTTACGAAAAAGTAATCGGTATCGTATCGAATCCGATACTGGTGGTATCGCCCATCACTATAAAAACAAACTAGGAGTTACTATCACAAGGAAAGTGCTGCCTCAAACCTAAAGGCGGCAATAACACAGGCTAACATTGAGCTAGCTATTTCGTACCGGGCGGGGGGCGGAGGGGGCGGCAGCCCCCCCCCCCAAGTTTGTTGGGCAAACAAAGCCAGTCGGGCCATATTCGCTTCACAGTCGGGCGATATTGGCTTATTATAAAAATAGATGGGACAAATTCTGTCAATTTTGTGGGAAATTCTGTCAATTTTGTGGGAAATATGCTATCGAATAGGAATTTTTAGTAATCACTCCTCCCCCTCCCCCGTCGACAACAATTTCGGAAAGTTTCTCCGGAAATTTTTTCCTTCCCGTACGCCCATGATCAGGCTCTATTTTACTATTTTATATGTTAAATTCAGGTTATTTCATTCTCTGTATCTCAGTTGGTTAGAGCGCTGCACCGGAATCGTGGGGCCGTAGGTTCAATTCCTAGCAGAGGACCTTGTGCTGCATTTTTCGCAGTCGTTCCTGGTTAGGTCTTAAAATGTATATATACTCACCTGGATTACAAACCCTAACATTCTAATAATATATTTCATTACAATCCTCCATAAAAATTTGGGCAAACTTTCAACACCGCGCCAACGTTTGTTCCCGCGCTTGCGTCTCAGCCAATCAGGTACAAGTAATTTTGCCTTGAATTAAGAAAAATGCCCTCATCATTAGCCAATCATATTTGAGTAATTTTGCCCTCTATATGATTATAATAATAATTATTATTATATTTATTCAGGATACCCACAAATTAAATGGAATGGCCCTATATTGACATTAATATAAACAGTTATGACTTTTATGTCTTTTGTTGAACATGGTCGTGTACATGACTTAGTAAGAAGGTTCACAGGTTAATTGTTGGTGTTGCCCTGATCGTACACGACTTAGTCAGGTTGTTAGTGTTTAAGATGGTATTGTCAAATTGTCCTGGAATGTTCTATGTAAAGAAGTCCATCCTGACACGTTTAATTTTCCAGTCCTATTTCTTTCAAGAAATTGTGTGTGATTTGGTGCGATTACCTCTGCCACAGCTAGGGCATGTTCATTCAAATTGTTTATTGTGTGCCTGTCAGTGTTTAGTTTAGTTTAGTTTAGTTTAGTTTAATGAATTTGCCATATATTACATAACTCCAAAAATATCGGAGAAACAACAATAAATTATAAAGTCAAATAAATAAATAAGCGAGTAGGTAATACTATACTATTAAGGAGGTCAATAGTCCAAACACTTAGATGAATAAAAGTTATAAATGGCAGTCTTGAATGTTCGAATGGATTCGCACTGTTTCACCTGAGATGGCAAAGTGTTCCAGAGTTCGGCTGTTCTTATGAAGTAAGATTTCCTGTAATAATCTTGCTTATGCTTTATAATTAGATTATAGTTATTTATGTCATAATTACGTGCTCGATACCCGGGCTCAAACACTGTCAAAAATTTATTAATGTCGGTGGTTAGCAATTAAGCCATTTCTCGATTTAAAGAAAAATGTTAAGTCTGAAATTTGTCTACGTTGTTCTAAAGGCAATAAGTTTAGTTTGATCAATCTATCAATATACTTCGTATCTTCAGGATAGTTTAGAATAAACTTGGTAGCTCTTATCTGGACATTTTCAATTAATTTCGCGTATTTCTTGATGTAAGGTGACCAAAGACTACTACCATATTCCAGCTTGGGTCGTACAAGAGCACAGTATATTATTTTTCTAGTTTGTATATCTTGCAAATCACGGAAACTATCCTTTTCATTAGCCCAAGGGTCCTGTTAGCTTTAACAACAATTTTCTCAATATGATCTGCCCAGGATAAATTGTGAGATATAGTAATCCCGAGGTCGACAAATGAAGGCACACACTCAATCGGTTGGTCACCAAGACTGTAATTTCTATTCATTTGTAATTTCTATTCATTCAGTGTCAGTGTCCGTGTCTGTGCTCGTGTACTTTTATGTTCATTGTCATTTCTGTCTATGTATTGTATGTTCACGGTACATTTAGTTTATATGTCTCTTTCTTTGTTCCTTTCTTCGTTCTCTTCTTTTAACTATACTGAACTGATGTTAGTTTGTAAACTTGAAACAGTTTTTGTACGGTCAGTTTTTAGAGTGTTGTAATCTCAAATTTTGCAACGAAATAAATTGTACATACAGTGTTTCTTTGTATGGATATATGTAAATCTATTTATTAGTTTTCAGATATATTTAACATTTTAGTATTTGCCTGTGGATCCAAAGCAGCACTTTCCTTGCGATAGTAACCCCTAGTCACAATAATATATTCCAGTTTGAAATTGAAAGTATTCGTACTCGAGGGGCATTTCACTCCAAAAATCCCGTACACTTCGTCAAAAAATCCGGAAAAATCCGAACAAATCCGGAAAAAATCCGAACAAATCCGGAAAATCCAACAGATTTTCTCTTAAAAAAATCCGGGAAAAATCCGCTAAAAAATCCGCAAATCCCGTACGCTTTTTTGGAGTGAAATGCCCCTCGTTCGTACTCATGCTAGCTACGCAGGCTAGTACGGTGGTTGCTAAAGGGGATGGATGGGACGTTTTCAAGATGAAGGGACGTTTTCAAGATGGTGGCTACTTTAAGTTTTCAAGATCGTCAGTTAAAACCACTGAGCTATACTATATTACTGGAGGACGTGCTCGGCATCAAAAAGTGTCCGCAAAAACATGGCGGATTTCGGCCTTTGCTGACGCCAGAATGACGCCATATGGTTCCTCCGGCTCATGGTAATTACCACTGACCAGGCTCAATTTTGAGCCCGCTACGACTTTCACACCCCCCTGGTTCTTATTAAAATATTTTTGCTTGTTGAAGTATTTGCAGTATATTCTCGTAGTTTTTGATTTTTTCATATTTTTTGTACCTTTGACCACTGGTTCAAATGTGTGCAAGTCGTACACATTATATTCTCGTCCTCAAAAGACAGAAAACCTCGAAATACATCCGCAAAGACGATATTTGAAGCCGCAACTACAGGTAAAATATTTCTCAGTTCATAACTTCACACACTGAGTCACACTCGAGCACATTTTCTACAAAAATTGTCGGGTTTAACTATGGTACAATGTATTATATTTTAGCCACAAGTATGTAAAGGTCTCTAAAGCCTTGTTGTACAAAGTAATCAGCAACTTTCGTTTCATTTAAATCGTGAGCAAAATGGTATTTTGATCTATTGTTTATTTGTTTACATGCTCTATTTGTTGCATATTTTATGATGTTTTGAATAAGCCTGCTGTGCAGTTTGTATTTCATGACACTATTTTGAAAATTATAATTTTCTGTAGGTGGCACGAAACTGTGCATTTTACAAATATCAAATTATCTTAATTTGACCCTGGGGACTGATTTTATAATGACATGAAAGTACAGTATAATGTGCTACCAGCTAGTATGTACTTACCACTATATTTTTGAGGGAATAACAAAGAGAATTTATAGTATTTTATATTTTGTACTAACTTTATATGCAAAAGCTAGAGGTACTCAAGGAAGCTCATTCTGCTGTCGGAGTACCTTAATAAGGAGTTTTGAATCACTATGCCGATTGTAGTTCTTGGGTGGGGGTTCTAGTTAGTGCAGGATGATGCAACCAGCTAAGACTAAAGTCGCGTTCACACCAGCGGCCCAGGCCTGGCCTGGACCTGGGCCAATTGTGACGCATTCACACTGGCTTGACGCCCAACTCCAGGCCAAAGCAATCAGGCGTCAATATAAACATCCTTGTGTTCCACTAAAGTATTTAATTTCGCGCTTTGAATGTTTTTCCCTCCAGTTGTATGACAATCATCTGACCAGTTTTTATCGTGGGCAGATATTGCGATGGTGACGGGGCCTCGCCCAGGAAAAACCCGTTCACACCAGTGATGATCGAGGCCAAGGCCAGGTCCTGGCCACCTACATTTGCTGGCCTGGATTTCTTGACTTAGGCCAGGCTCAGGCCAGGTAAAACCCGTTCACACCTAGACCCAGGTAAAACCCGTTCACACCTAGACCTAGACGCGGCTTCAGCTGAAGAGCTTGGGGCCTTTATATTTGTTCATATTTTTTTAGCTTTTGGTGTACATACACATAGGATTATGGTTTCTGTAACTTCTAATAGTTTCTTGATAAATATAATTCTGAAAAAACAATGTATTTTTAAGGGGTCACTCAACTTGCCAACAAAGTTCGAGCATCGTCTGAAAACCTAGTATATTTCTTTTGTATTCCTCATTTTCCCTTGATATGATTTTTCATGCTTTTTCTCTTTTAGAGTAACCTATATAATCTATTCTTGTTTATTGCAGAATTATTTACCACCACAATGATGCAGTTGAAATTGTATTATTTTAATTTAAATTCTTCAATGAATAATTATTAACTACCAATCACCAATGAGTCATTCCAGAAAAGATAAACACTAACTCCACAGATGTCTGAAGTGCTGTCTGAAGTGGGCAGAACTCAACTGCTGATAATAGTAAAAGTATTAGCTAAGGGTGTCCAAAAGTGGGAGGAAGCTGAATCTCCCATCTCTTCCATTAGGGGTGTGGATATTTTTTTGAATGACCCAATCAGTTTGAACTAACTGTATAATCAAGTTATTCTAGTATAATTATCACTTTGTAGTCCCATGAGCTGTGACATCACTTTGGCTGTTTGGCTTGTTTATCTCTTTTCAATTTTCTTTTGGTAGCGATAACAGATTACTACTACAGATACTGTATTACTACACATTGTTACACCCAAATAAGATCATATACATCAATGTTAACTATCATATGATACAATACATCTGTTACAGCAAGAACATTTTTGCTTCAGTTCTTGTATAATTACATATCACTTTGATGCCTGTAATAGAAATGAGAAATAAAGTTACTTTGTTTATGATTGTTTTATTCTATGGTTTGTTTTATTCTATGGTGTGAAACTGTTTCATGTACATTTCAAAATTAATTGCAATGGGTGCATACTGTAGGTTCTGGCCAGTTAGCTCAGACCACCACCCTAGCTACTTTGCAAGTTACAGCTCTGGCTGGATTGGAACTGTTAGCTCTGGTGCACCACTAATCTTGTATAAATCTGAATTAACCCATTAAGCGCCATCGCTCTCCCCAATTGATGAGTAAAATAATCTGGCGTTAGACAGAGTAAAGGGTGCATCAGGGTGCAATGCGACTCATAACTATACACATAGGCTAGTTATTAACCCATTAAGCACCAGCACTCTCTACTTGATGAGTAAAATTGTCTGGCATCAGACAGAGTAAAATAATAAAGTAGGGTGCAATGTGACTCAATGGGTTAACCTCTAAGGGATCTAAATAAATATGGCTAAACATATTAAATCAAGACTCCCATGACAGAGGTATTTTCTGAGTGAAGGAGGTTTTTTGTTTGGAAATTTTTATGAGGCATAGAGGTTGTCAGGTTGACCCATACTAGCATTTAAGGTAATGCCAATGCAAGAATGATATAAGTATAAATCATGCAAATTTGGGTATGCACAAGTCGATGATAGCTCGATGCTGAACTGAAATGTAGTGCACAACCCCACAAAAAAAGCCTAAATTACACAGCCAAATGGTAAATGCTGATACAAAACCTAGCAAGTAGCAAGACTAGAAGTTTATAATATTTGTGAAGGATAGAATACAGCTTGTTTATACTGTATATAAATCTAGTGCTAACTGCTTTTTATGAAACAAAGCAAACTACAGATTGCATGAGCAGCATGCTGTTTAAACTAATAAACTGGCACTAAAAACAAAAGCCAGTGCCTGAAACTAGAAAGAAAATGTATGTACACAATGTATAAATAACCATGTACAACGTTTTTTATGTCTGCTCCAGAAATATTGGTGTAAATATAAAATATAAGTGTTTGACAGTATCATATTTATACCTCGATTTTATACGCATATCGGCCCCTGACTTTGCCAATCGAGAATTAGTCGAATAAAAGGTAAAAACTTAAAATTTTCACAAATCTTACCTTTCAGAAGAAATATTCTTCCTTTTAAAGTCTTTACAGTGAATCTTTGCATCCACAAGTGGAGAAAAACGGCATGATTTTGTCTTGAAAACATAAAATATTTGTCAAAAACAGGGGGGCGAACGTCTTTGTTGGATGCTTAGGATCGCGGTTGGTCAGTGGTAATTGCCATGAGCCGGAGGAACCATATGGCGTCAGCAAACGTGAAAATCCGCCATGTTTTTGCGGACACTTTTTTGACTGACGAGAGATAGGAGCACCTCCTCCAGTAATATTATAGCTCAGTGGTTAAAACGCAAACGATTGAACGAATCGATAACCTAGCTGGCTTATAATAATCCTAAATCTCACCCTAAACCTAACCCCAATTCTAACCCTAACATATTAACCCTATTAAAAACTATAAAGCGCACCGCTCTGAGATTAAATTTTAATAGTTTTGAAATAACATGAAAACTTCTAAATTCTAAATTCTCGTCCTTTTTAAGGCCTGTTTTAATACACTTGCAATTTTCACTGCGATTTCTACGGCGATTTTTTGAAATCTCCAATGTAAACACCCTGCGATTTTGACTGCAACTTTGGTGCGACAACACTGCAATTTGCAGCGATTTTTCCCGATTTTATACTGGCTTGTAAACTGAGTTAAATTTTCAACACATGACTC